GCCTTCACCCTTCTCCTTTTTTCCCTTCCTGGCGTATCTCCTAAACCCCGCACATTCCAAGTGGCCAGCTTCAATTTAACAATTGACTGCATTTCCTTCCGCTTGATCTTGGATGCGGAGTTCAGACTGTTCATCGGCCCATCTTGACTCTCTCCTAACCGAAGATTGGTGCATCAGGCTGCGACTCTGGCTGCCTCTTGATTGACCTGACTGTGTAGACGAGCGCCACTCCTCCACCATAGAGTCCAACAGGAACTGGGATCGAAGGTTCAACGAATCCGGGAGTTCTCGTTCACTTGGAGCAGTATCAGCGTTGACACCTCCTGAGTTATGGCGATGGTATCTAGCTCGTGGCTGTTCGCTTCCCTTACTGCATTCAAGTTGAACCACTTCACCCCTACTTGAGTGAGGGCTTCCGCAGTTTCCGTGTCCAGGCGAGCGTCCAGAAGCGGAAAGTACACCTTCAAGATTCTTGTCTCCAGGGGTACTGTGACGCTGGTCATTACTGAGCGGGGGATTACCCTGATAGGGAAAGTGTCCCCGAACAGGAATTTCGTCCTTGTCAGAATTTCCCAGGGCAAGGGCGTTTTGTCTGTCAAAACAAATGGGAGGTAATGCCTGCCCTCCGCCTGCGACAAGCCCAGGAGGTAGGCAGAGCTCCCCGCCATAGCGCATACAATGGGAACCATTCTCCTCTCCACCGGGCGGGGATCTCTCTCCCGTTGGGATCTATAACCCCGCTTACTCGAGGTATCTGACTCATCCCGTCTCCTCCTCTGAGAACCCCCTGAACTCCCCGTTGAGGACAGTGAGTTTTCCACCCGCAAAAAGCCCGGTCCCCCCAACCCCCGATCATCACCTACAAAGTCACTCCCCATCACAACCCACGACTTTGAGTTCAAAGAATCCCCAGACGATACTCTCCCCTCTCCTCCTACAACACCTCCCAGAGAGTTAGCGTGTGCTCCCCCCCCTGTTCCAATATGTCCCCTTCTGGAATGGCCCGCCAAGGAGTGGCCCCTGAGCTCTTGCGATCTATGCCTTGTTTGTCCTTGAAGCTGCATGTTTCGAGTGTTAGCTGAGTCTGCATGAGGAGTTGACAGAGATAGCGTGCCTACCCCCCTACCAATCCTTTCCTGCCACCCGTAAGCACCTGTTGGCACTGGGTGGAACACCTGGTTTTGGAGCTGGGCGCCTTGACATCTAGGATCCTCACAGCCCTGACATGGATAAGGGGCAAACGACAGGCCGCCCTGATGCTGATAGATAGCACCCATAAAAGGTAGGTCCGGGTCTGGGACAGGGACCGGAACTGGCCCTCTGGGGCACGAAGCCGAGTGTGTCCATGGTGCCATTACGGCGCTGCCTGGAGGTGGGGGCCCAATAGGCTGTCTTACCGCCTGGTTGTAATTGAGGAAGGTCGGGTACAGCTCCTGGTAACACTGGCCCAGAGGCCGTGTGTCCCCCTCGTACTGCGTCCTCTGCTGCAATTGTTGCCCTGCTGCTTGGAGAGCTGCGCTTGACTGTCCTTGGGGCCCAGGTGGTGCTGGTCCTAGGGGAACCCTGTCTAGAGGCTGGGTCTGCTGGCCCGGTGCCTGCCGATTTGAGACTTGGGAGGTCGCGGCCTGATTGGGCCTTTGCGAGCTTTGCCCCTCCTGTTGGCGTACTGGGGGCTGTTGACGAGGTAGTCTGGACTTCGCCCAGCTCCTCCTAGTGCTTGACTTCGCTTGCCTCGGACAGTCATCCTCCGTGTGAAAGTACCAATGGCACTTTCGACACCAGTCAGAAAACGGCGTTGCCACTTGGACTGTCTAGAGTTCACCTTTTGGAGACTCAATAGATAAGGTATCCTCCACTCTTAACCTTGCCTGCGAGTCCATGTCCAACTTGATATTCATCAACTTGGGCTTTGACCTATCGGCCTAAGGTGGATGAATACACTTTACTCCTCCTATCAAGCCTTCTACCGCTGAGGGTAGATAGCACATGGCATCCAATGGTACCCGCAGCGCTAAGATCCAAAAGTTGGTCTCCGCTTCCCTCAGTCTCAGCTCTTTAAGCTCCAGCTTCGTCACCCACGGCTTTATCAGCACTGGGTACTCCTTTCCTCCGAGCTTTAAATTAATAGTATGCTTCTGAATCAACCATGTAGCAACTTCCACTGCCTTTGCTACGTAGAACACCACGTTCGGGCTTTCAAACTTCACTCTCCCCCTCCGAATGTTCGGATCGAACAATCGCCTGGCCATCCACTTATCCTCGTAGGCCCTTATCAGATCCTCCTTCACGCTCCTAGTGAGATCCCTAGCCTCATCCTGAAAAATAAAGGTCATTGTCCTTTCCTTAAGCCATCTCTCCTTTATTGCATCGAAGGATTCATTAGCTCAAAATCTTTTGCCCCTCTCATCAATAATTACCTCCCCTACATTTTCCACCAGATGAACCACGCCCTCATCGTAGCACTGTCCAGTAGATTGCCTCGTTCTATCCTCTGCTGCCCAAAAGTTTGTCTCAGGAGGGCGAGGGGGAGGAGATCTGCCCCTCCCACTCCCTTCCCTCATTCCCTCTGCCTCTATCCGTCCACCGTCCATCTTTGACTTTTAGTATTCGCCAACATAGAGCAGAGGGCTAACGCTCACCCCCCCCACGTCTCCTCCAAAGCTCCTTGAATCCGCTAAACTGCTTGACCGGGGGACTCACCTAACCCTAGCTTGATGATGAGGACAGGCCCTATCTAGTCTCATTCAGGGGAAACGACACTACCCAAGGCAACTAGATGCAACTTTCCCATATCTCCCTGACTCCCATCGGGTATGTCGCTCCAGTTTGGAAACAAAAGATTATGCCCCCCAAGCTTCGCCTTCTCCAACCTCCCTCCTAGATGTTCGTTGGGTAGATCCCAACCTTAGGTCTGTTGACGGCAACTTTCTGAAACATACCCTTGACTTCTCTTCCTTATCTGTGGCTCGTCTACCTAGCCATCTTTCCAAGATACGGATTCTAGCTGGCTACCTCGACAGAACTTCTCTCCGGACACAACCGGTAGCCACGATGGGTGGCTATGATGAGTTCTTCGTGCCCCGTCGCGATGGCGGGGTTGACAACGAGGTAGGGCGCGGCATCGACCGACTGAAGAATACTAGGCAAACCGTCGACCCGAGCCGGCACCGCTTCGGAACGGCCAAAATTAGCGCAGCATAGCGCGGCCGTCCAGCTGCGGCGTCCCTTCGTGAGGGCCTTCCCGACGTAGGTGGATTCGAAGTTCCTCATTTCTTTACTTTTTTATTTCTAGTTTTTTTTTTTTGTCTTTTTGGGGCCTCCATCCCCCCACTTCTTCGGAGTAGGCTACTCTTGAGACTTCGCGTTTGCCTGTGAAGGGTAGTACCTGCCAATCTGGGCTGTGGCCGAGACATCTCGGCCGTGGCCCAACCATGGGGCTGGTTTTTTTTTTTTTTTTTTTTTTTTTTTTTTTGTCCCAGCCGCGGAGCGGCACGGCGCGTTACTGCACGGAACCAAAAAAAAAAAAGAAAAAAAGAAACGGCCATGTGCCTGACTAGAAAAAGCCAGCCCGAGTTTCAAACTGCTAAACCGCAGTTTCAAATGCAATTGAAACTCGGGCCCTGACTAAACTGCTAAAACGCAGTTCCAAATGCAACTACAAACTGTAACCCTGACTGCGCCGTAGTTTTCTCTTTTTTAATTTTTTTTTACAAAAATCAAATGCAAATTTGCAAGGACCTCTAGAGGTCCTTCCAATTTGCTGAACCCCGCGGCCCACCAGGCCGCTGACAAATACTACACTGTTTGTGATTTTGCTAAGGGGCGGGGGGGAAGTGTGACTGCAAAACATCATCAGATTTTGCGACTTTGAGAATTAGACCCCTAGTGTGAGTATGCCCTAATTGAATAGAATGTGAATGCGAGGACTCTAGAGGTCCTCGCAATTTGCTGAACCCCTCAGGCCAGCAGGCCACTGACAAATACTACACAATTTATGATTTTGCTGAGGACGGGGGCAGCCTGTGACTGCAAAAGGTCGGTAGAATTTGCAACTTTGAAAATTAGGGCCTCGCCACACTACTCCCGACTTGGAGAAAATTTTCGGGGGTACTCCTGAACGTCCCAAGATTGGGAGTGCGCTTCACCACATTGCACTCCCGACTTGGGGCGCTCTCCAATTTGCAGGCCAGGAGGTGCACTTCAGACACAGACTGTCCCGCACTGTCCAGCGTGTGGCGCTCGAGTTCTGGTCGCGAGGCTCAAGCAATTCGGGAGTGCTCTCGGGAGCCACATTCTGACAGCTCCCGAATTCAATCTGACAGGTTGAACTCAGGGAGCCGGTGTGGCGACGCTGCACTCCCGAAAATGGCCAAGTCGGGACAGGCTCTCCACACAGGCTGTCGAAAAGTTTCTGCAGCTGTCAGAAAAAAAATCAAAAGTTGCCGGTAGACACAGTTTACCCCCCTTTCGCCACACAGGCTGTCAAGGGCCAAGGTTGTTGGTCCTGGCCAAATGGACTCCACCTTTCCACAGGGCACGGGTGTTACGGAACAGTCCCTGACAATGCAAATTCAAACGCAATTCTCAAAAGGCAGGTGGGGCACTTTCAAATTTCTGTCTCCTGCAGGCGGGAGGAAATGAATGGGGTATGGTGGCTGTCGAGCGTACCATTCTGACACCTGTCGAAATTTTTTTGAGCAGCAATTCTTTGGAAGTCTGTGTGGCTATGCAAAATTGTTTTTCGACAGCCTGTGTGGTGAGCCCCTAGTGTGAGTATGGGTCTCGCTCCACTACTCTAGAAACAGGCTATTTCTTGAGAGCGTCACGGCTCCACTACTCTAGATGCCAGGTCTGGAATTCGGGTTCTTAAGCTGTCCATCTGCACTCATGAAAATGACGAGAATCCGTCTTCGCACCACTACCTCATGAAATGCACTCAGGAAAATGTTTTGGCAGTTCGGCTCCGCGTCTCGACTTTGGCAGCGACCCCTTCGCCGCTTTCGCCGCGAACTCGTTCATTGCCCATCCGACTCCATCGTTCGTGTGTGTGTGTGNGTGTGTGTGTGTGTGTGTGTGTGTGTGTGTGAGAGAGAGAGAGAGAGAGAGAGAGAGAGAGAGAGAGAGAGAGAGAGAGAGAGAGAGAGGAGGAAAGTAGGGAGAGGGGGAGAGAAGGGAATGTGATGATGAAACAGAAAACACGCTCGCAAGCGTGGGCTATGGTGGTTATGGCGACCGCTGCGGCATCTTCGTCGGACGGCTTTGGAATGATTTCTCGTCGGCGTGATCTGGTGCGCAACTTACTTCTTTCTCTGGTTATGGGTGTTTTCATGGCAGCGGGGTTCATCGGTGATTGCCTGGCCGATTCCCCATCCCCATCATCTCTGCGTCTTCCTCTGAAAGTCAGGACCGTTCGTCCTCACGAAGAAGACTTGCTGGCCGAAAAGAGGAAGCTCCTTTTCATCGGATCGTCTTATTTTGACAGTTTCCCCCACTTGCTGGGCTCCGCTCCACCTTCAGGGCTCGTTTCCCCATCTTCCTCCGCATCCCCAAGTGAACTCCCACTGCAAAGCGGTCCCAGGGGGTTCTCTTCTTCTTCTTCTTCTTCTTCTTCTCCCTCGCCATCGCCACTCAGCTCTTCCTTGTCGTCTACTCCTTCCTCCTTGACAAGCACTCCACTGCGCGGGCGAGGCAGCATCAGCAGCAGCAGTCTGTTCGCTCCCCCTCTCTCCTCCTCCTCCTCCTCCTCCTCCTCCCACCCTCCATCTCCTGGCGATGTCGGATCGTTGGCCAGCACTCCGTCCTCAGGTAGAGCTTCTTCCCGCGTGTCGACTGTCGTCGCCCTGCGCAATCGCTTAAAGACGATCTTCACCGTCGATGTGATGATGGGTACCCCGCCGACTCAGACTCGCAGTTTGATCGTCGGATTCGACGACTACATCACGTGGACATTCTGCACTCCAGCCGTCGGATCTCTGCAGCTTCAGGAACCTGTCAATCTCCCCTTCGCGCCCGCATTAAGTTCTTCATACAGTCTGGCCACGTGTCAAAGTCCAGGCTGCAAGGCTCTTCAAGCCACGGCAAGGGGGGCCTGCCAAGCGGGGGGCACATCATGTGCGCTTGCGCTTACGAGCAAGGACCAGAAGAACGGAATTGCAGGGCAGCTGGTGTCCGATTACGTAATGCTGAGGGCCGACAGCTCGAGCCGCATCCTGTTCGATTCCATCGGCTGTGTGACGGAGATCAAGGGAAGCTATGTGAACTTCAGTGCCGATGGGACTCTAGCTCTGGGCCCAGCCAATGGGACCTTCTTCGCCGCCGTGACCCAGCAATTGGAACTCCCCCAGATCTTGAACCTCTGCTTCAACGCCACTGGGTACCTGAGTCGGGCCTCAACCTCAGGTGTTGCTGATCCTGCGGCTGTGATAAACGACAGTGGAAGTGTGGTGTTTGGAATGCCTCCTCCCTGGGTCGTGTACCCAAGCTTCTCTATCGGCGCTCCCTTACAGACAACGGACTTGTCGCTGGATACCCCCTGGGCCAATTACATATCCAAAATCAGGGGTTGGACCGTGGTCCCCTCCTCCTCCTCCTCCTCCTCCTCCTCCTCCTCCTTGTCTACTGTACTTCAGCCTCCTGGGACCGGTCTCGTATTCTTTGACAGCGCATTTCTTACTTACCTTCCTAAGGCGAATCTTACGGTCATAACAGATGCCATTCAGCTAGCAACGGGCCTGATACCCGATCCCGACTTCGAGGATTTGATCGTTTACTCCCAGCCGTTGTGTGATGTAACGAGCTTCCCCACCGTTACCTTCCTCTTCCCAGGAGGGGTGGAGTTGAAGGCCACGCCTGAGGAGTACACAGCCACCCTGGGATCGGGCATTCAGTGCTTTGTGTTGTTGGGGTTTGCCAATCATACGGGCACAAAGTTCATGGAGCTGGGACTGTCTGTGTTGCAGTCGAAGTGGCTGACGTTCGATTTCTCTGCGCCCGCAGGGGGGGGGGGGGCTTTCAAGGTCGGCGGTGGGTCTTGTTCCGGGCCCGCGATGTAGACCCCCCTGTTGACTTCGTGAGGGCGGAAGAGCATACTAACGCTATAAGTATGGGAGGTCTGAGGGGGGGGGGGGGGGGAGTGATTGCGACTTTTGCCGCCGGAAATGAGAGCAGAAAGATACAGGGAAAAGAGCAGTAGAGGGAATTTCAAAGCGTTGCTGAGGTAATCGTGTGTCGATCGGGCAGGCGTCTTCACCAGCATAGGACGCCCGGTCGTTATAGCAGCTGTATTTAGTGCAATTTTCGGCGTAGATAACAGAGATTATGACTGGGCGGGGCGTCCTACTCGGGTTAAGAGGGGGTACTCCTGACCAGGGGTCGTGCCGACCACTGGGGCTCTGTCTCAGGGAAGGAACGGACCGGGTGTGAACGACCATTGCAGGCGACCGATCACATAGTGTGAACGACCATCGCAGGCGACCGGTCGCTTACGAGGGTGACTCCTCCTCATCTTGTACCATCTCGCTGGAACGGACAGCTAACGACGAGGAAGATCGGGGTCGAGGGGGGAGGGGGGAGGGGGGAGGGGGAAGGGAATGGAGGGTTGGGAGAGAAAGGAGAAGGGTGGGAAGGGTGTGGACTCTGTGGAGTGAGGGGCCCTTGACATCGAAGACTACCTTCGGTCCTCGCCCTTTCGAATCAGACAGATCCAGAAAAAGAAAGTAAAAAAAAAAAAAAAAAAAAAAAGAAAGACATAGTGGGGGGAATGCCCCCGGAAGCGACCACGTGTCCCATGTGAGAAAGTCATAGTGGGGGGAATGCCCCCGGAGGCGACCACGTGTCCCGTGTGGTCCTCAGGCTGCTCCCTGAGTCCCCCGGCCTCTAGGGCTTCGTCGAGAAGCGGGCCGGGTGCGAACGACCATCGCAGGCAACCGGTCACATATTGTGACCGATGATCGCAGGCGACCGATCACAGTGTGAGAACGACCATCGCAGGCGACCGATCACCGTATTAATCTTTATACTCGTCATCTTGTATCATATCGCTGGTCCAGGAGGGAAGAGCTAACGGAGAGCTAACGGAGAACTAACGGAGAGCTAACGGAGAACTAACGGAGAGCTAACGTAGAGATAACGGAGCAAATTCAGAAAGGGGTGGGAGGTGGAGGATGGGGGTTGAGGGATGGAGAATAGAGAGTGGGGACCCGCAGGAAGTGTGGGGAGTTAGACATCCTTGACATATGATAATTTATAAGGATCAAATGGTGCGACAGACCATAGCGGGCGACCGGTCCTTAGGTTTTATCTGGGGGTACATCTCAGAACGAACAGACCATAACAGGCGACCGGTCCTTAGCTTTTATCTGGGGTTACTTCTCAGGACCAACTGATGAGAACGACCATAGCAGGCGACCGATCGGATAGTTTCGGTCGGAGGGAGACGTGGCGTGAACGACCATAACAAGCGACCGATCGGATCGAGAGAATCCCCGCCATTTACCTCCTCTTCGGAAGAGAGAGCTAACGGAGGGGATGGCAACAGGATCTAACGGAGAGGAAATAATAGGAACAGGAGCTAACGGAGAGAGCTAACGGAGAGGAAATAAATTAAATAGAACAGGATCTAACGGCGAGGAAATCATGGGAACAGGAGCTAAGGGATAGAGAAGGGGACAGAAGAGAGAGGAATGGGAAAAGAAGCTAACCGAGAGCTAACGGAGAGCTAACGGAGAGAAAACGGTAAGGAAGCAACGGGAAAAATGGGCTCAGGAGCTAACGGAGAGGAACGGGGACAGAAACTAACGGAAACCAGTCTATTTCATGACACGCTACGTCCGGCAAGTGCGGGTAGGTCACACACACACACACACACACACAGAGAGAGAGAGAGAGAGAGAGAGAGAGAGAGAGAGAGAGAGAGAGAGAGAGAGAGAAGAGAGAGAGAGGACGGGCAAGGAAGGGTTT